AGTTGACAAAATACATAAAATGTATCTCACATGTCATTGTCTGTGATTGCGTTACATTTTAACTCCCAGTCATTCCGAGCCATATATCATACATTCATTAACCAATAAAACTTGAAAGCTTGTTCCATAAAATATATATTTTCTGAGATTCAACATTGTAGTTTACTAAGAGTACTGCCCACCCTCTTAAATAAAATGAGCGTGAAGACGAATTAGGTCCTAGATAACAATAGAAGCGTCTTAACGACATTTTTACGTGACTTCCTTAGACAGTGGTGCTCAAACAGTTAAAATACCTATTTTTTTTATGTTTTTAATTTTAAGCGTATACTAACAATGTCAATAGGATTTAGTCAAAACTTTTAAAGGAATTTATTTAATATTTTATGAGTTTCTTTAAATTTAATTGATTGCATTAAATAATTAATAGTACATTATGCTACAAGTGTGTAAATTTGTTGATTACCGTAGAGGCGCACTGAGGCCCTAGCCGTCAGACAAGGGACCTAAGGAGCCGTCCGATGACGGTAATCATCAATACACATGTGTATCACACGACATTTTTCAACACACTTCACTTTTTGATCTTTCCGCGGATAGCATTTTACCGCAAGTGTAAACAACTCAACCATTTTTTAAAAAGAACTCTATTAATCTCTAGTGAATAATGAAAAAGTTACAGTTTAATAATAGGTGTCATTATGTGCTCAATTGGCGTGGGATAAGAGCCACTTTATGAGGAAGTGTGTTAAAAAAACTTTTATTGGCAACTCTCTCAACTGCTGTAAACTGCTATGACTAAAAAATAACAATACGTATTTAATTTTAAAATAGATTATTGGGCTACACAGTAAAACTTAAAACAAGTTAAAATGAACCAGAAAAACCGTGTCAGTATATTTTTGAGAACACTAGCCACCCTTAAATCAATAAGCAGTTTTAGTAAGGGAGAGTCATGCCAAGGCCGGAGGTATTATCGGGGGGAGATGAAATGGGAGATTCCCCAATCTCCAATTCCCAATACCACTCATGAGGATAAGGCTGACGCACTTGCAATTTATTTGTTGTTTCGGATGTCAACAATTGCTTACGATCGGTTAATCCATCCTCGTTTGCCTTCGTATTACATAACAAGAGCGAAATTAAAAATCCAGCAGCTCTAAATTTTCAAACCCAACTGGATTTTAAAACCAAATAAAACACATAGAATGACCTCTAAAAACATGTCACATGCAACGCAACACAGAAGTTTGAGAACCGCTGTAATTTTGTGAAACATTGTAATTTTAGTGACTTATTTGTCGAGGCATCAGCTTGTAACTATAAACTGACATGGAGGTCTATGAAAAATTGTATTTTAGTACGTAATTGATGTAAAACTAAGTAAACAAGTTTAAAAGTATTTTCACATTAAATATAAACAGAGATTGTAAAATATATAATGGGATTCTAAACTAACATTAATATACGCGAGGCAATAAAATAAGTATATAAGAAGGAATTGATACTAATGACGTGTCATTTAATTTATTTATCGTTGTTGTAGAAAATTTTCATAGCATTGCAGGTACTTATCAGTCGGTGGCTAGTTCTACTTCTAGGGTGGTCAAAGAGATTTTTCTTTTATATATGTGTAGGAGAGTCATGTTTCCGCACGAGTGATACCACAGCCTTACAGAAAACCGTGTGAGTGAGGTTGCCGGAGGTCCAATCCCTCCATCTCTGTCCCTTCAAAATCTTTCAATATCTGAAACCCTTATTCCCTAAGAGGCCGGGAAGCACTCGTAACTCCTCCGTTGCCGCGAGTACCCATGAACAGCGCTGATTGCTTACCATCAGGTAATCCGTTTGCGTGATTGCCGCCATCAGATAAAAATGTACACTTGGGCTTAATCCTTGACATAGTTATGTGTCATTGTGTTCATGTTTACTGAATCATCATCCACTACTGGGCATAGGCTTCTTCGATGGTGCGCCACTGAATTTCATTTTTTTGAGGAAAGGAAATCATTTTATTACTTCCCCTGCCCTAATCTGGGCTATTGTAATTGCCAGATTGACTGAAAACCACCCTGTTCCTCTTCTCCAGGCTGGGGTCGTGGAATATTATTTCGCTGGCACCCGTAATCCCATTTTGTCACTAATATAAATCAAATTCCTCAATAATATGTATATCACTTTAAAAATAAGCTTGTGTTAATGAATGTACGTATAAATATGTTATAATGAATTAATTAATTTCCACGCCAGAGCCTGAAGTAGCAAATGTAAGCCACACGTGAATTACTTGCTTCAAACTACGACACGTTGTGACTTTCAGGTGTGCGGTAAGTACAATCGACGAAGCTAACGGAGAACCGTTTACTCTACAGTGGTCACTGTCAAAGATGATTTGATGCTAGTCGAAGCTTAAAATATAAATATTTTATTTCAACTTTGGAGTCAAACAAAAAAAATATGCTAACAATATTAAGTACTTCATAATCCAAAATTATAAACAAAGACACAATTGACTACAACAAAAGACAATTGTCATCAAGATAAATAAAGAGAGCTTGCAAACGCTGATTAAAAAAGCTGCCTTATATAAGATGATCAAATAAGCTTTATGCATTTAACTTAGTCGTGGTAATGGTGCAATATATTTACGATTGCAAAACAATTTATTGAAATAATGGTTTAGTGTATGAATTATGCATGTTTTATGTGTGTAGTTACATAATATGTAAAAAACAGTATCCATTGGAAACACATGACACAAAGATAAATTACAGGGCACGTTCCTATTGTTCTTATCACTCACTGTACACTTACACTTTACACTTACACGTCTAGCAAATTTAAAATCGGTGTTTCAGCATTGCTTTCCACAATCGACCAGCAATTGTGGGGTATCAGTGCGCCGTTAATTTCGTCGATAGTACAAAACCGGTATGTTTTTAATCAAGATGCACCTAGAGTTTGTCGTCCCCGTTTCAACTATGTTCCTAGTTTATAGCTCATATATGACGTTCTGACACTAATTAAGTGATAGAACTGACTTCACGATGTCAGTGTCAGTACATTTATACATTCATATTAAAGTTATGTTGTGTGTTTTTGAGTGTTGTTAAAGTTTGTACGATTTCAGGCCGACATGAGGCTAGAAAATAAGTTTCATCACAGATCTATTTATTTAAAAAGTCGAGAAAAAGGAGATTGTATACCTGATAGTAAGCGTCACTCATGGACACCCGTACATTAAAACAGTTACAGTGTTCTTTTGGGGGTTTGGGATTAGATGATTGGGGATATGGGAGAGGGGTTGGCCTTCCGGTAACCTCACTATAAACTTAAACGATTAAACACAAGCTTTGTTTCACACCCGTCTTCTATCTATTCTCTCTCCTTATTACTCCGGTCGAGCCGGTCCTTTCGTGCCATAGTTCAGCACTTAAAAGGTTTTATTGCCAATTAGATCAATTGCTGTAATTTGTTTTTCTAAGTATGCATCTTGGAATGCTCCAATGATGAAAATAAATCATGAAACTAATTACAAAATAAAATAAATTCCCTATAACCCAAAATCTCCTAATCCCTAATCCCCAAAAGTCACTCCTCCGTTGTTATGGATGTATATGGGCGGCGTTGATTGCTTTAGGTACTATCAGGTACTTGCTTGTTTGCCGACCTATCACAAATTTAAAAACCTATCAACGTTGAAGAGGTTTAAGAAAAAAAAACAGTTTGAATTTATTTATCTATTTTAATTTATTGTAATTAAAAATATTTGATCTAAACACATGTTCAAAAATCAAAGTATTAAGGAATAGTACAAATATATAAAAGTTAAATTTTACCCATATGAATGAGTAACATTATCGACTATGATAGCTAGTGTGCTACTAACATTGTAGTAAGGATTTGGCGTTACGGAGTACTGTAAAAGAACTATTTCGTAAGTAATTATAGTGCCCATTACCTGAAATAAAAAAAAAAACATAAATATTAGAAAAAAAAAACGACTTTTTATTGTAAGGAGTATTATTGTATTGAGTTCCTTCTTCTATTTCAGAGACACGGTATACTTAAATTGCATTTTTAATAGCTTTTAACATAATTATCATAAGTTATCATCATCAGCCTATATGTGCCCACTGCTGAGCAAAGGCCTCTTCTCACACGGAGAAGGTTAGAGCATTAATCACCACGCTTGCTCAATGCGGGTTGGAGATTTTAAACTTATAATTAGAAATTATAAGTCCAGGTTTCCTCACGATGTTTGCCTTCACCGTATGTCAGAGGTGTCTAAATAGTTATAGAAAGTACATATAACTCGGAAAAAGTCACATTGGTACTTGCCAGGTTTCGAACCGACACCCTCATGCATGAGAAGCGGGCTCCTTAACCTCCGGGCCACCACGACACCATAAGTATTAGTGCAGATTCGAATTTTATCTTGATAATTTTTTTTTGGCTAATTGCAAGAAAATTAAAAGAACTCAAACCTTTAAAATCATGTTCCGTGTCACGTAAAAAAACTTCCCACTTAGTCCGACTTCAGTGTAATGCAGCTGTAACTGAAAGCGACGCACCTAGAAGTAGAATTAAAATAGCACAATTTTCAAAATTTTATAGCAAACACCGTTTCAAATAATAATATAGCTGACAAGCGGAAAAAGTGATCATTTTATAATGAACTTAAAGTGCTTTGGAAATATTTATAAAATAAGTAGAGGTGACTTGACAACTATGTAATAAAACTATGTTTTTGTTACATACATATTTAGGCATATTTTCATCATAAGTATAAGGATAAAAGTTGATGATTATTTTTGTAATACTTAAAAACTCATAACAGTATAAGTATTTTGTCTTACGAAAGTGATCAAATATCGAATTCTATACATTACTCTTGTTTTATCAACCGACCCCAAATATTCAAGATATATTCTGTTCTAACAATTAAGCAAATTATATAATTTTATAAAAAAATATTTAATTTATTTATAAAAAAAATATTATAGTGAATCAACGTTCACCTCATTATCATACACTGTAGAAGGCACATCATACACGGAGTATACAGGTTCGAGTGCCGCGCAGTGCACGTTGGATGCAAACAGAGACAGCATCAGAGCCCGAAGTACAATGAAGACGAAGGAGTATAAATAGTAAAGGAGGTAGAATGGAGATGACAGTGCTCTGGAATAAGAAAATATTAATTATAGATTTTTCTAGAGTACCTAGTTTTAATAAGTATGGGGACATAATATTAATAACATCCACCAAAGTGTAATATTCCAATCCTTCCCCCAATACACAAGTCTTCAAAACTCTAATCCCCGAAAAGGTCGACAACGTATTCGTAACTCTTCTGTTTTTACGGGCATCCATGGGCAGCGCTGATTGTTAACCAACAGGAATACCTGTATATGTATATAATTATGTACTTATACTGAAGTAAAAAGTATCACTACGCAGTATAAAATAATTCGTTTTCCATTTTCTGTCCCTATGTATGCTTAGATTTTTAAAACGACGTGACAGATTTTGATGCGGTTTTCTAATAGAAATAAATATTGAAAAGAAAGTTTTAGGTGTATATTTATTAACTTTTGCTGAAGAAGTTAGTGTCAGACAGTTACTTCTCCTGCTCCTGTTGGGGGCTACGGTAAATTACACGGTTTTACTAGCAACCCTGATTAAACATGGCTCTATAAGGTCCCACGCCTCGCGTGAAAGGCGACGTGCTTTAAAGCCGCCTAGTTTTGGTCATCCGCAGACCTCCAGACGAGTAACGCCATATTTTAGATAATTAAATATAAAATATTTATTTTACAAGATTTACTCACAGGTTGGTTTGTGTCTCATCGCAATATTTGAAACTGACATGGTTCCGGCTGAAACAGAATATGATTGACGTTGTTTTATGAATATAATAATTAATATTTAACTTTAAAGGATATTATGAAACAAGAAATTATTTAGGATATCCTCTTCAAAGTGCCTAATGATTAAAAATATGTATTTTTTTTTATACAGGACAGAATTGATACCGTATTTCTGAAAAAAAGTAAAGGGTATAAGTAAATGGGTCGTAAAATAATAGAAATAATTGTTTAATAAAAGTGTGTGTTTTAAAATGTCGAAGTTGTTTAGGTTGGCGCAACATCTAAATACGTAATGAGTTACTTAATAAATTTCGTCGTTTGGCGTAGACACGGAAAGTAGACCAATTGAGGTTTCGCTGTATAAATACATTTTTAAAGGAACAATCAGTGTCATATTTTTATTATAACTTTCGTGAGACATTCTAAATTATTTATTATGTTTTCGGCTTACTCACGTAATAATTTGACGAGATACTCGACTAGTTTCAAGCCATGCTAGAGGCCTATATTCATGAGCAGCATTCCGCGACACGCGACTCCGCGACTGTCGCGCTGCTTCACCAAGTCGCGTGTCGCGGAATGCTGCTCAATCAGTATCATATGTATATTCTACAAATAGTCATGGTTATTGCAATTCTAGTCTTTAAAAAAAACAGAAGAACATCAATGGCTACTTATAACTAAGAGAAATTATTGTATGCCTTACTGCAAAGAATTGAAAAGCTGCAGACAGATGTAGAACAGATCGGTGAAGAAGGACAGGAGAATCAATGAGCTGATGTTGTCATCTATCTCTTTAACTAACTTCACCAAATTGGAGTAATGTAGCCGTAATATTGACCAAGGAATGGCGTCCTGGAAGAAAAAAAAACAAATGTAACAACACGTCTATAAAATTGTAACAAGTCAAGGCGCTAGCATCAGCAAATCCAGAGAGAGAGAGAGCTAACATCGGACTTCTCACTTACCTACACATGTCATTTTTGACAAGTAACGTTCCAATACCTACATGCAAATAACATCGTAAAGGCAGTTTGTGTATTATTTTAAAATAAAAAAAACCTGCAATTATATTTACCTTATCTTTCTTAGAATTAGTGGCGATAACAGCATTTAAAGTCTTAAAATATGCTGTAATGTAGATACTGATGCATGCTATCAGTATGTCGTTGAAACTCCATAGAAATGTCGATTGAAGGCACAAATACTGAAAATAATAAATATTCGCATAAAAAAGTGACACCTAAAATGTGTGATGTTCTTTTTACAAAGCCTGTAAAAAGAAAGTTTTATTAAACAACAATAAAGTACATGTTGCGTCATATAAAAAATCGAAAATTTAAAAATCCCAAGACCGTTTTTGACTGTATACCTAGGTACAATGACTCGATCAATAAATAGTTTTTCTATTAAAGTATCAACAAAGAACGACATTTAAATTGACGAATTTAATTTTTAACTCACAGCAAGTATATTAAAATTAGCTCTTAAATATTCACAATAGCATGAAACGTCATCATTTAGCAAGCTAGTACAAAATTCAAAGAATTGACAAGTTGTCATTATGCCTATTGTTTGGAAACCCCTTTGTTTGTCGATTTGGTAGGTATTTTTCAACCACTCAACTAAATTTACAGTCATGATGACAATTGGATAGAAGAAATTATTTCAAAAGCCATCAACGCGTCTCTAAGTCCGCCATTGCGCCATAAAAACATTTAACTTTAAAATAAATAAGTACTAAAAAGACTTTAAAATAAATTGAAAAGTACTTTAAAAATATTTATGATAAATAAATAAATTCTTAAAAATAAATCCCACTCTATCGGATTAATTTAATGTTATAATTAGTTTATGTACTTTTCCAGTTAATTTTACAGGTACCTATTAGCATACTACTTGACGAAAAATTTTCTTACCTGACGTTTGAAAAATAAAAACAAATAATTGGACTAGTTGGAAATACCATTATCGTTAGACGAAATATACAAGATCAATAATTATAATTTTTTGTAAAAAAAAATTATATCCCATTATCACGAACGTAAACAATACCTCAAAAAATAAAGCACTGAAGAAGCTATAAGGTATATAGTTGAAAATATAAGGCATTCTATGTTCTACGTAGTTTTCCATGACATTGTTGGTGATTCCAGCCTCTTGGAGACAGTACATGACAAACTTTATATTAAAACTAGTACATAGGATGTGTTCCACTGAAAAAAAGAAAGAAATATAAAAAAAAACACGTAATCACTTATATACTTCTCTTTAAGCAATAGAGGCAAAAATTATTTGGGCTAGTAATAACAATTTAAAATGTGGGAGAGAATAGATAAGCTCAATGATCAGCTCCACCGTAGAGTACAAAAAACAGAATGAGTTTACTGGAGGTCTAACCAAAAACGAACACTATAAGAAAGCTGGAGGGAGGGCAAGCAAAATCCTTTCGCTCCCCCATCCCTCCTCAATCTCTAAATCTATGACTTTACGAAACCGTAATCCCCGTAAGGCCGGCAACGCACTCATAACTCCTCTGGTATTGCAGGTGTCTTGCTTACTATCAGGTAGCCAGTTCGTTTGCCGAACTATCACTTAAAAAACGGACAATTCAAATGGCAACCAAAATCGCATTTTTCTACCAAAAACAAAAATTCCAGTAACCAGTTGCTTAGCTGGACATTCAACATAAATAATTAGTTAGTACAGTTAATTATAAAAAGCATAATACATACCCATAGCTAACGCCATAAACAAATAAGCAAGGACGTTGCTTCGAACAACAACTTTATTATCCAATGTAAGCTCAGTGAGACTTCGTTCGGTTTCCACAGCCTTCGTCATTAAAGCCGGCCATTGTTGGGACAATTTAAGAAGTAAAATTGCAGAAATAAGGCCCGTTCCGTAAAAAATTACGTTGGCTGAAAAATATTGAGGCGTTTTGTAATTAAAAGTGGTAACGTGGCCTTTTATAAAATAGAATAACTCTTTTTTGGAGGTTCGTTTTTCTTTTGTTAAAAACTATGGTCTATCGGTTTAGGAAATAAACCAAATATAAACAATCCTGTCGTGACTTTTCATCTAAAAGTTGTAAAAAAAATGTAAAAATGCCTCCAATCAGGTATTTGCGTATCAATGTTAGCTAATAATATTAATTAATAATCTTTTTACTAATATATAATTAAAAGACATACCAAGATATATAGCCATAGTTATCCGACCATTCGACAGAGTGCCTAGTGTGAGTTTGTTTTACGTAAGCACGATCGCCATGTTTAAGTCACTTTCTGATTGGCCCGCTCCAAGTTAATCAACCAATAAAGAGATGCTAAATTCGGAAATGTTTCTATAGCGACAACATAAAGTCGCAAGCACTCAAAGTTATCATTTAGAAGAAGCCTAGAATCATTCATCATCATTCTTTAGTTTCCTAACTATTTTCAGGCACATTAGTCGTATCAATCTATTTAAAGATCCCTAATATTAAAGTCTCAGTATTGGAAAAACTACCTTAAACTATATAATTGGAGGCCCAATCCTTCCCCTTCCCCAATCCCTCTTCATTTCCTAAATCTCCAAATCCCTAATCCCTAAAAGGTCGGCAACGCACTCGTAACTCCTCCGTTGCGGGTGTCCATGGGCGGCGCTGATTGCTTACCATCAGTTAATCCGTCTGCTCGTTTGCCGACATATTACATAAAAAAAATTATGATACTTACATATAGAACTCAAACTGACTTCGCTTTGAAAGAACAACATTATAGAGAAGTAGGACATCACCACTTGTCCCCCAAAAGTGGCGAATACATAAATACTGTATAGAGATTTAATTTTAAACCTGAAATAATTATTTGTTAAATTAGTAGGATAAACACGGCTTATTTACTGTCTAAAAAGGATTGTGGATAATGCACACATTTTGAATTTGGAAAATAGAATATACCAGGTAAATTCTAGGAAATAAGACAATAATAAAGTCATTTAGTATTTGAACTAATTACATTTATGTGCCTATGTCGACAGGGTATCAAAATTAAAGATTCATATACCTCGTTCGTTAGTAAATTGATGAAAAAATATTACAAACGCTTTTTAATTTTATGGTATAATGATGAGGTACGAAATAATACAAAACGTGTCTAATATTGAAAATACAGTCATAAAATATATTTTTTTCATTATTTTTGTTGCAAACTTGAGTTTATTAAGTTTAAAAATAAATGGTTATAAAAAATATTGATTTACCTAATACCCTCAGGTCTAGCTTCTCCAAGACCCTGGACTGGAAAAAATCCCATCCACCTGGCGAACCTCAGCGCATGGCGCAAGCACCCGTGAAAATGACAGGGCTCGTCTGGACTTCTTGAGCTTAAACCGTAGATCTTCATGGTTCAACTGTAAAACCGATTTTACGCTTTTAGATTCAATGCAAATTTTGCGATGTCATATATTTTATAATAAAATTATAATAGTCTTTAGTCTCGTATTTATTTGGTTTTTGATGACGTAGGAAACTTTTAAGATAACCTAGCTTTTATAAAAAAAAACAAGAAAGTATAGGATTCTTAACAATTTATTTAAAACGGTATCTTTGATGTTTTTAACTTTTAAAAAAAGTAGGTTATCACCCAAGAATCCTATAATAATCTACTAATCCTAATCCTCCACCCTATGGCAGTTACGGTGGAGCATACGGTAGCGGTATGCCCTGCCTGGGCTGAGCACCGCCGTATCCTCAGAGAAGTGATTGGCGGCGGCGACCTCTCGCGCCCGGCCTTAGTCGAGGCCATGGTGCGGAGTGAGAGGAACTGGGACGCCGTCTCCTCCTTTTGTGAAGCAGTCATGCTCGCAAAGAGAGAGGCGGCCCGCGTGAGGGAGCAATCCTCCTCCTCACGCCCCAGCAGCCGCAACTGGCGACACTACGGGCGTCGGGGATCGAGGGACGATCTCCGGCCACCGTAAGTACGGGCCTGCGGTCGGCGAGTAAGGGCAGCTCGCCGCCCGACTAGAACCAGGCCCGAGCGTACGGCGCGTAGCGTTCCGCGCGCGCCTCAAAGAGCCATTCGACCACCACAGACGGGGCCCTAAAGGACTGATGTTCAGCCGGGGTTGCGGGGTAAGCGCAATGAGGTACCGCGACCTCGGCACAGAGCAGGAGAAAGAACAGGGGGATTTTAGTCAGTAAGAGTCTGACACTCCCTCCTGCCCGGCCCTGGGCGGGAGAAGTCATTTGATGATTTTCCCATCACAAAAAAAAAACCCTATGGCAGTGGTGTTTAAAGAAGAATTTTGGTAAGTACATATAACTCGGAAAAAATCGAATTGGTACTTGCCAGGTTCTGAAACCTAATACGTCATGCATTAGGTTTACACCATAATGACCGCGTCAAGCGACGTACCTATTATTAGACAATATAGCATGAAATAACTAAAAGATTAGTTATAAAAAACCTAATTGTTGAGAACTATTCCATATCTTAGAAAAGTTAGTTCGGATGGAAAAAGAAAATTTTGTTAAATAACCTTCGATTATGGAACTCGACAAAATCGTCAAAATCACTCAGAAGCGAGTAAAGTAGGCAAGTTACTTAGCAGTATCTCTAGAACCTTCGAAGCTTCAGTCGAAGCATAACTTCGATAATATCCAATGATTTGTAACGGGTAAAGGGTCTGGCGATAAAAATGTATAATCTAATAGAATCGAGTTTCCTTGTAAAATCATTTTAGGGGTTTGCCAAACGAGTGAATGGAGACTTTGTGTTATGAAATTGAGCTTAAAAAAGTTCTTTTGTAAAGTATATTTTAACGGTGTAAAAGAGACAGCTTATCAAGTAGTGGTATCAGCGCTCCGCCCCGTCTTCATTGTATTAAAAAAACAACGTACGCGTAGTTCTAAAGATTGAAGCACACGGTGGTATAGGGACAAATAAGCGACTTTAAAGGCAACTACTAAAAAGGCGAAAGTAACTCAGTCCGTCTGTCTGTTTGTCTGTCTCTTCTTCACGCTTAAATTACTGAACCGATTTTTGTGAAATTTGGTACTACAGACATAGTTTGGAACTCAAGAAAGGACATAGTTTTTATACAAAAAATCTGCAGGAAGTCACTATTCCACGCGAACGGAGTCGCAGGTAAAAGCTAGTATTGTGATATGTAAAGTGCGATGAACCTAATGCTAATCCTTAATATTACTGAAAAAAATTAAAAACTACAATAATACTTTGCTCGATTCGGGTTCGAAACTGAGATCTTTTTGTTCGGGGGCGCACTTACGACTAATCATCCAGCGAGGCAGTGTACTTTTAAGTACCTACTTAGTTTTTCTCGTATCTGCCTCATTCTTCAATAATCAGATATAACACTGATTTTGTAACATCAGATAATGTGATATGCATAATTTTTTTTTTATTTTTTTATATATGCGATATGCATAAAACATTTTTACTTCTTTATTTTACATATTTACTTTAGCATAATTAACTTTTAACATTATCTGATGGTTGTTACCTACTACAACTGCGTTTGCGGCCTCTTGTCGTTTATAATGGATTTAAGGATAGGATTTGAGTATTAAGGATGGGGTGAGGGGCAGAATTGCATCCGACCACCTCACTCACCCGGCGAAACACAACATAAGTGTTGCTTCACGCCGGTTTTCTGTGAGGCCGTGGTATCACTCTGGTCTTGCCGAACCATTCGTGCCCCTAGACCGGCTCTCCCACGCTTAATAAATAAATAAAACGACTTTGTCGTTCGTTTGTAACGAGCTTTACTTCAGGTCGGCGCCATAATTCTCGATATCAAAAATCGGGTAAGGATGAAAAATTAGCTCTCTGACTATTAGGTAACTTATCGTGATAGTGTCTAGGAGAACATTTTTGACAACTCTCCGAATTCTGACTAATAAATTTAGGATTCGTTGCCATTTATTAATTTGAGAGGATCGACCTAAAATGTTACTTTTTAACGAATTTTCAAAAAATAGTTGAGCCATGCTTCGGCAGGAATGGACTCGCTCGACCAGATAAGTACCACAGCTTCACAGAACCAAAGTGTTGTGTTTCTCCGTGTAAGTAAGGTTACTGGACGACCAAACTTTCCTCTATACACACTTTTATAAACAATTTTTCCCCCATTAGGGTGCAGTTCCATGCTCTTCTCCGCTCTGCTCCGTTCCGCCTAAATGGAACTGCACCCTTAGGACGGCAACGCACTTGCATCGTCTCACCTTCACCTGCTACGGTCCTCTGGTGTTGCGAGTATCTATGGGTGGTTGCAATTGCTTATTACCCAATTTCCCGGCGTATCACATAAAAAGAGAGAGGAATGTCCTTAGGTCGTCAATTTTTTTTGCTGTAATAAATTGGTGATGTTTTTTATGTTGATTTATATGTATCTTAGATTTTTTTTCAATACGATGAACTTAATACTCTAAAACAGTTATTCTGGTTAAATTTAATTCATAATTAATTTGTAATGTGATATTTATTGACATTGTTTTTTTTACAATCATACTTGTTGTATCCAAAAATAAATAAGTCTAAGTGCAAAAGAACTTACTCAAATATATTTGAGGCCAGACAACACCCACTTTTTAGACCTTAACCTTCAACCAACAATAAGCGATTGAACACACACTGTATAACGTATACATACATAATATATATTCATATTTATTTACACTAAGAACTAACATGTTTACATAAGAACACGCCTATTTGCTTAGGTCAGGCATATGTCATAGTTTGACACTTAACAAAACTTTATTGATATAATGGTTACATACTGACGTATTACAGAAGTGCTAGCAACCAACTCGTGTCTTTGCTTGTGTAATTAAAGATAATAATAAAAAGTATAAAAACTAAAACCCAACTACGACAAAAACCGACGCTGAAAAAGTATAAAACAAGATTTTCAGAGTTCTGAAAGGCGTAGTCACACGTTATCAAAGAGCAGGTATAGTAAGTAAATGTAACGTGTGACTACACCTTTCAGTATTCTAAAAATCATGTTTTATTATTTGTACTATTTTGGTGTATTTATGACGCATAATATCAACAAAAATTAAATTGATGAACTAATATTAAGTAGTAGAAGCTATGAACGAAAAGATGTGAAATATATGCAATCAGCCCATGAATACAGGCCAAGTCACCAGCAAATGCTAGTACTATATATATATATATATATATATATTGTCCGCTCTAATGATAATATCGTGCCAAACTACGAATATAAGTATTCCCCTCATAGCAACCCAGTGCCTAACTACGCCGCAAACACTCTAGCTCGTCACCAACTCACACGGCAATTGTTGATTTTGTAACCGCCATTTATTTTACACTTTGTGTGACATTGTTGATCAATATAAACGTTGGGAGATCAACAAATGCCGCGGAAAGTACACCGATGCTGCGCAGCGGCAACATCGCAAACGAAACAAAAGATAGACGCTAGATGAGATACGGCCGCTTTCTATATTCAATCTTGAGATTGATATTTGAATCCATTTCCTACTTTTAGTATTTCAATAACCGATCAATGAATCGCAATCCTGATCTTTTTTTTCAATCCATCTTTGGGAGGGCGGATTGGATTTTTAGTTTAGTATTTGTATGAAAGTGACAGTTTTGCGTATTCTATATCCAAACTCTAATTTTGACAAATCGATTTTTGAACATTATTGATCGTAATTTTCGATCCTCAACTTTTGACCGATTGCATGCGTAAACTTGTTATAAGACGTGATAGTGATCTTGAAGTATTAGCTCAGCTATCGGATTGGGATAGTACCGACAGCGAACAAGAGAGTGCCGTGTCCTCAAAAACTTTTCGACGAATTAACTTCATGGCAAGTTTAACTGACGCAGAGTTCACATTCAGATTCAGAATGAATAAATCTTCAGTTGAATCTGTTTTAAATGAAATAATGCCCTATATCAAAGTGAAATCAAGACGGTAAGTTGTTTGCTAACATTACTTCAAACTTCAATAGGTATATAAACATAACCTAAATAAGAAACGGATACCTAACTAACTATAGTACTTATTTATCATTTTCAGAAATAATGGTATACCACCATTGCATCAACTTTTATTGGCACTTCGATTTTATGCATTGGGGACAATGCTTAATTCAGTGGCCGACTTTGCTGGAGTGTCCTTATCGTCAGCTTGTAGGATAGTGGCAGACATATCTGCTGCTATCGCTAGATTGTATAACAAATACATTTGTTTACATTCTAGAACTACAGATAAATTTTATAATATAGCTCAATTCCCAAGAGTATGTGGTGCTATTGACTGTACACATGTACACATTCAGTCTCCATGTAAGTATCCAACTCTAGATTTGTTATTAATTAAGAATTGGCAATTTGCTTAA